GATAACCTATTCCTTAATTAAAATTTAAGTGTCACTCCTGATAAATGAGGTTGAGGTTATTAGAAAATGTTATTTTTGACTTATATATATATAATTTTTTTATGGGATTGCGATTCGCTCATTCCCTTTGTAGTCAGGCTAAAATACATCATTATTGCTAACTAATTACTTGGTCAAATATTTGCATAATCGTCAGTCTCCGGTAGATGGCAGTATAGTACATTTAAAAAAACGATTCTCAGAACACTCCATTGTTCTCAATTGCTCAACGCAATATCATATGAAATACACGGTTTTAATTTTCTTTATTTCACCTGTATGGATATATACACTGACAGCAACACACACATGAGAGTAACACGACTTCCATCAACTGTTACTCTGCAATCTCACAGGGACAAATAGGCAGATCTAGAATACTTTGGACTAGGGCAGAAGAGACGAAAAGAAAGAATATAAAACATACACATACAAAAAGGCAGATTCTCATAGTAACTCATGAATCGAACTGCAATGAAACGTTTCAAGGCTGAGCAGTTGCCATAGAGCGCTTGGCGCCACAAAAGGGGAAATTAAAGGTAGACCATCTTTTGTCATTTTCCCCCTGAGTTCCATTCTTCCACTCAGCCTTGTTCTCTAAAGCGCTCGCTAATCGCTGGCTCGAGTTCTCCATAAAACCAACAGACTTCAATGCAATTACAACAAGCAGAAACTGAGAGTGTTTAGATGCCTGGAATGACTGGTTAGTTCATAACATTTAAATTTAAAATAGATGCATATATAATGTAGGCATATATGTACACAATACAAAACAATCTTCACAGATTTTGACTTGATATATTTAACATTTGATTTGAATGTTTCATTAAATGAGCTGGACATGTTTGGGGAGGATTTGTTTGATAAAATCAAGTTTTATATATAGTAGTGCAGCCCATGCATTTTGCATTTACAGGACCAATGCTTCCATGCCATGGCAGATTTTGGCTAACGTGATGCTATTATCTGTGTTAGTGTTAATGAACGGACTTGGAAAGGTTGCCAGTCCGAGACACTGAAGTCTAATGTACTATAAAATGTAAGTATTTAATTCTGGCTATGCCAATGAATAATTCGGTCAATAACCGGGGAAGGTTTAATAAACGTACCAATTTGAACAGAATGGCAACATCCTTCATCGTGGACATGAAATGTAAAGAAAAGGTGAAATGTTTGTGGATGTATTTCAGCAAGACAACATCCATACGAATAATATGGCTTGGCTGCAGCATGGGGTGGGCGGAGCCTGTGGAGATGGGCGGGGCCTGCAGCAATGGTGGTTGATTGATTGACAGGCTCGTTATTCCAAAGACTGCAGCATGAGGAGCTGCTTGAGCACCTTCGTCTGGCTGGTCTCTCTGATCTCTCCTGCCAGAAACATCTCGTCCACCACTGTATATACCTGAAACATGACAGCAACCGGCGCCTCTATCAGTTCACTCAAAAACAAAACCCTACTGTATCATCACATTTGATATGCAAAGGGCTCTGAATTATCATCATGATCAAAATTTGCTGAAAAATTCCATCATCTGATTGATAGTGTATACTTTTTAGCAAGTAAACAGCCTTTTTAGTATTATTGTAAACATCCCCCTTGTCTTTTTTGCTGTGAAATCATTACTGATATTGAAATATTGTTAGTAATATTTCAAGATAACCTCATACTGGACTGAATCAACTTAGGATCACTTGATTATCTATACATTTTTTTTTCTTTTTTAGAAAAATGTTAAAATGTATTATTTGTAAATCTCTCAATTATTTTATTTTAACTGCATTATATGTTCTGCCCCCCACAATAAAAACTACGGAGCTCTGATCAGAAACTAAACATTTAAATATCATCTTACTGTAACTAAATATCAGTTATTTACTAGAACTGATATTTATGTGCATTTTATGCAAGTAGTCTGTTATAAAGATCTCACTAATTTAAATTACAAGCGATGAGAATTTCATACTTTTTGGCCATATTAATATCAGCAACTGCACCAAATTGCATATTTCTGCTCAGTTTGGGTCTGAATAAAAACGTGCTTTTTATCCTACTCAGATATTCTCATCTAAGCCATAAAAGCCTGATGCATCAAATATGCTTGACCATATTATGTGTAAAGCTTCAATAAATTGTTCCATTTCAAATGAGATAATTCCGACTATTATTTCATATAGCAAGCTTTACAAGGTTAACAAAAAGCATGCATTTGGTGTGGGCTAAACTGTTCATGCAGTAGGCAGAATCAAAAATACATCAGGTAATTAGCGGAGCGGAAAGAAATGCAATTAACTGTGGCGACTTTTTTTTCTATAATTACTTATGGTTTTCTTCAGCGGCAGACTCTCTCTCGTGCTGAATGGATGTGGATGTTCTTAATTGTATGACACTTGTAATTATGCATAAAATACCTGTTGCCATGGAGCTGCATTGCTGTTGAATCAGAGCTAATTACATCTTTTTCCTCTCACTAGTTTTTGCTGATTGGGCCTTTTTTCTGCCTTTTCTAAATGTTCCTCTTACTGAAAACTGTGCTCGAAAGCAGCGGAGCTTTTATTATGCCACACTTCAGCGCTTCCGCTCCTTCCGGTCGTGCGTATGTGGGGTAAAGCAGTGCTGTTTTATCATACTAGATACATTTGTAAGTTCTGTTTAATGCTACTCTGTGCGGTCGTCACCTGTCTATTAAAACACACAACATATTAAAGCGTCTTTGGTGTTTCCATGTTTTCTACAAAACAAAACCGGAAATCGAGGGGTTATGACGGCATTGGCAGGCGACACAATGACACTATGGACACGGTCCGTGTCACTAGTTAAAATTGCTTATTTCTCTAGATTTAAACATTCTTCGAAACATTTGGGATAATGTAAGTACACAAGTCAGCAAAATATATAACACTGTTCTAGTGGTTTTGGGATATTTTAATAAAAAAAATCGTACATATTGTGCCTTTAACTAAACAATAATGCTTCGTACACACCGGGATGATTATCGCGCCTGCTTATCGCCGACGTTTTTCGACGCGTCTTTTGTGTTCATACCCAAGCGATTTTCGCTGGCGATGAACCGAGTGAATGTGCAAATTCACTCCCTGACATTAGATGGCGCTTAATGAAAAACAGAAATACCCTGAAATACACATCGAATCCTATTTGATCTGTAATTCCTCTCCATAACAACTCCCTCTTATCGATATTTTTGTAGTCGCTGTCGCGTTTGTCATAAAGCTCTTTGTGTTCAGACACCAATGAGACCAGCAGCTCTACATTCATCTTGCCTCGATGCATCTTCTTGGTCTACTTACTTCCTCTTCGTCGTTAGGTATCAATGTATGCTCGGCAAGACCGTTTTGTGCTTGAGCGCCACCAAGTCGTGTTTTACTGTAACTTCAGCAGCTCCAGGCACGTAAACAAAAGTGCCAATCTCATTGGTCGGCCAGTTTTTAACGCGGCGTGTCAAACCAAAAAAACGAGCCCGAGGCGTTTTTTTTAAAAATTACGCTTTTACGCCTCGCGTTTTGCGCGTCGGTGTGCACACTCACATTGGCGCCCTTTATTTAGTCACGAGGCGTTAAACGTCGGCGATAATCGCATGCGATATTCGTCCCGGTGTGAACAAGCCTTAAGGCCTCTTGATTGGTTAAGGTAAGTCATGCTGAATCACGTCAGTTACATTTTTTTTTTTTTTTTAAGAAATAAATACTTTTATTTATCAAGTATGCATTAAATGTATCAAACATGACAACAAAGAAATGTATAATGTTACAAAAGATTTCTATTTGAAAAAATAAATGCTGTTCTTTCAAACTTTATATTCATCAAATAATTCCAAAACAATATTAAGCAGCACAATTGTTTTCAACATGGATAATAATAATAATAAATGTTTCTTAAGCAGCAAATCAGCATGTTAGAATGATTTTTGAAGGATCATGTAATGATGCTGAAAATTCAGCTTTGCCATCACAGTAATAAATTACATTTTAAAATATATTGAAATAGAAAGATATTTTTGATTACAATAATTTTTCACATTATTCCTGTTTTTTTGCTGTATTTTTAATCAAATAAATGCAGACTTGCTGAGTATAAGAAGCTTGAAAGTCTTCTTTCAAGAGAATTACATTTTTTTAATACTAATAATTCTATATAGATATAGATAGATATACACATGCTTTTTTATAGAAAAGTGTTAGTATTAGGTTAGTTCTACACTTACCTTGTAGAAATTGAAGACCAGATCTAATTCACACACATTGTGGAAATACTCATTCAAAACCTGCAAAAAAAATAAAATTAAATACAGATCAGTTCCAATCGATTCATAGCAACATTTGCTCAGGATACACTTAACCACAGCAGTCTATCGTTCACCTCAATAAGAAGCAGCTAAATTAGGGACAGGTATAGCTGTTGACCATCTTAAGTTGGTGACCCAGGCGTTTCTTTGTTTTTAATCCAGCATAGTGGGCTGCTTTGGGCTCGAGTGATGTGGGATATGATGGGGGAGTTGTTTACAGTGAGGGTCAGAGGAAGTCCTAGAATCCATGTCACAATGTTCTTGAACTCCTGGCTGCTGGTTTCCCTCGTGGCCACATTCCATTAGTCTCTCAAATTACGCTAACAGAAGTGCTGCTCCTTCGCTCCTTTATTTACCTGGTGAGACGTCTCACTAAAGCTCATTTTCTAATTATCTGTGTTACATTAAAATGTATTTAGATTGGAAATGTTTAGGATAAGACTGAGCTTTACACTTATATTCATTAAGAACAATATATGCAATGAGCACGTTTACATGCACACCAGTAAGCTGATAACTCACAAATATCAGCTTATTAAAATAACCAGTTTTCCCCGTTTACACGCACATCAGTTAACCTGACAGCGCAAGTAAACCTCGTTTACATGACATTAATATATCAGGTTATTTCCCTGTAGTGACGTCAAAACATAATCATTTGCATATCTGACTACGAGTATAGCATATGTTTTCAGTTGTGGTGTTAAATAAAGCTTGCAACATGTAAGTGGGCAACTTGCAGCTCATATATTATCCTCTCATGCAGTTATAGATGCAGCATTTTGACTGAACTACTTCTGCTGCATGAGATGAGAACACGCAAGAGTCTGCGTTTGCGTTCCTTCTTTCGTTACTGCAAAACGCTCGCTCTGTCTGGATGCGCTGCACTAATGATGCGTTCCTGTCGCATATCACACATGCGCACTTCAATAAGCCGAGGTTAATGCGTTTACATGCCACGTGAAATCGGAGTGAGAGGCAAAAAACAACCTGTGTCGATCGGTTTATTCTTAAGCCATTTATGACTTTACTCCGATAAAAGAAAACGGGTTACCGTGTTTACGTCACCATGTGCGTTGTCGGCTTATTATGCATAATCGGCTTGAGAGTGTGCATGTAAACACACTCAATATAATTTTCTTGGCAATATAAAATTACATAATGCCAGTGATTTTAATGCACTTTTTAATTTAGTCATGTAGTTCCCTAAAGCCTGTGGTAGTGGTTCAGTTTTGTGCCTGCTTATGTCACATATTTCTGATTTAAATATCAATTGCAAAAATTATCAAGCTGGAAAATCTGATTAATTTCAAATGATTCAATGATTCGTGTCATCACTTTGAAAAATGGTACCTGTGTAGCATTTTAAATTCTTTAAAGGGGTCATAGGATGCCCATTTTCCACAAGTTGATATGATTCTTTGGGGGCTTAATGAAAAGTCTGTAACATAGTTTGGTTAAAATTTCTCAATGGTAGTGTAAAAAACAGCTCTTTGCAGATCAAGCCGTTTTTGTAGCATTTTCCTTTAAATGTTAATGAGCTCTGCTGCCCCCGCCCCTCTCTTCCGAGCTGCTCTCAGAGAGGCTGTTTACTTTAGCCGCATTCATCCTGAAACTTGCTAATTAGCACATTATTAGGAAAGGTGATTTGCAAAGATTCATTACAAAACATTATACTCACTTCTTCTGTAGATGAGGTTGGATCATGAATGATTCGCGCGAACATAGACGCATTTATGTAGATCGGGTGCGCATTCCCTTCAGAAACAATGTAATCCATTGCGAGTTCAGCGGCTCAGATGTCGGGAGTAAATGACGACTGCTATGTTCATTATTACATACAACAACAGAACACAATGGCAGACTGATGACAGCTCACTCAGGGCGGAGATAAGGTAAGACACCAGTCCAGTCTGTGCTTAAACGCTACTGTCAATCAAACTATCGTGGGAGGGGCCTGTAAATCTTTATTTAAATAATATACATAAATATTGCTGTGTTTATAATGTACAGGGACACATAAATAAAATTATTCTCCCTTGTTTCCATTTAGTAGAAATAAAAGTGTGGAAAACATACTTGATTGGTCTCAATTTTTCAATTTTTAACATACTTTACTGCTTGCATTAAACATTTTGAATCCGCTTGATGGCTGTGGCTGTTTGGTCAAAATAACGACTCTTCTGATTGCAGGTTTGGGGGTAAATTACCCTTAAAGCCATACTAGAGCAAATACATAAATATCAAGATGTATCACCCAGACCTAATTTACAGTATTTCTTTTAATGACTAAGAGCTTGATTATGCTGATATTTGTGTTATTTGAGGAAGAACAAGCAGGCAATCACTTTTAAAAACCAATGCAAGGCACATTTATCATGCTGAACATTAAAGACCTTCATTAAAGTTAATCTCCTGACGTTTCAAAGCTAGCAGCCTACACTTCTCTTAAGAGTCTGCATATCTCATTTTGACTTGTGATTAATAAAAGTGCATATAAGAGAGGTTTTTAATTATGGATTCTGTGCAGCGTAATCAAGTCAGTGTTCAGGAAGCGTGCTGATTACACCATTTAGCTGCTCAATTGAATGCAGAACACATTAGATGATGTTATTTGGTGGGAGCTTAATATATTATATATATATATATATATATATATATAAGTATATGTATATTCATTTAAATAAATTTACTCGCCCTCATGACATCCAAGATAGAATTGAGTTTGTTTCTCCATCTAAACCGTTTTGAAGAAATGTAGCATTGCATCACTTGCTCACCAATGGATCCTCTGCAGTGAATGGGTGCCATCAGAATGAGTCATTTTATATCTCATTTAGGGGGCACAGTTGAGGATCTCTAACATTTTGCACTGCAAATATATTGTGTTTTGTCAGACCAACTCTCCGACATGTGCCTTCCACTTTTTTTGAATGCATCCTACATTTAAAGAAATAGTTCACCCAAAAATGAAATTTTCCTGAAAATGTACTCACGCTCAGGCAATACAAGATGTAGATGAGTTTGTTTCTGCAACAAAACAGATTTGAAGAAATTTAGCATTACATCACTTGCTCAGCAATGGATCCTCTGCAGTGAATGTGTATCAGAATGAGAGTCTAAACAGCTGATAAAAACATCACAATAATCCACACCACTCCAGTCCATCAATTAATGTGTATGTATTAAGTGCACGTTTGTAATAAACAAATTCATCATTAACACATTTTTAACTTAAAATACGAGTCCTCTATCCATAATATTGATTTCTCCAGTGAAAAAGTTCTCTCATCTGAATCAGGAGAAAAACATGCACAGATCAAGCATTGTTTACAACACCATAATGATGGATTTGTTTACTACAAACACGCAGCTTTTTGCTTCACAAGATGTTAACTGATGGACTGGAGTTGAGTGGATTACTTGTGGATTATTGTGATGTTTTTATCAGCTGTTTGGACTCGCATTCTGACGGCACCCATTCACTGCAAAGCATCCATTGGTGAGCGTGAAGAAACACTACATCTTGGATGGCCCAAGGGTGAGTAAATTTTCAGCTAATTTTCATTTTTGGGTGAAGGGTGAACTTAAGGACAAATCCCTAAGCCAATTCAGTACAAATAATGAATGTCTCAAAGCAAGTTTCTCCAACACTCCTCCTGTTTGCCATCTGTCAGACACTAATGATGTCAAACAGATACACTTACTTCAAACTCAGGCTATTGCTTAGAACCTGAACTGTCAAACCATTCAAACAAATAACCATTTCTTAACAAAAAAAGAGGAAAATTCTTGATTATTTCACAGCTGCATTGTTTATGACAGATAATGATCAGAAGACCTGTAACAGCACCTTCTGTAAAGTAAGAAATTACACACTGTGTTTCATATTTGTTCACTTACATTTTGGTTGTTGCTGTTTTTCTCATGCTCTATGGGCCCATAATGTTACAATTGAAGACAAAATAATAAAAATATTTGAGTGATTCTGTCACGATATGGTTGTAGGAAGATGAAGATTCGATGAAGAAGATTGAAATTCAAAAAGACTCTTTAATAATATCCACAAGTAGATCCAAACACACATGGCAAGCAAACACAACCATGACAGACTACACCAGACAAAGACCAAAGAGAACTGAAGGCTTATATACACACTAAGGAACTAATGAGATAATTAACAGGTGAACAAAATGTAGTCAAACACAAAGACTAGGTCAAACTGCAAACAAGGAAGACAGAACCAAAACACAAGACCAAAACTGAACATAACCCTGACACTACAGTCTCACAGTCTATTTAAAAATCTATTTGAAGACTAGAAATGTGTCATAGATGTTTAGATTAAATGCAGAGTTGACCCTGATCATCCAGGAAGAATTATGTATTTTATGCATGAGAAATCATCTGCATGTCTTCAGTGCTGAATTCAATGTAGCTCAGTCTACAGTGAGCCTCCGACGCTCTGAATCTGATTCCTTGAGCAATAGATAAAGTATTCAGCACTAAACATCATGGCCGGCCACAGCCTCGTTCATTTGCATCTCCTGACGTTTTCTCTCTCTTAAAAGCTGTAATTGCAGGCAGAGGAAGCTCTTCACTGCTGTGCTGCGAATGCTGCTGAAAGCCCTGAAGGGTTTTTACACATTATCTGCATAGAATCAGCATATGTGAGAATAGT